TTGGCTATTGAAACTTGTATATGCTTCATGAAGTTCTTGTGCTATCTTTTTCAGCTCCATCAGATTGTTTATATTCTTCTCTAAAGTGGTTATTCTAGTTAGGTTTTCATCTAACCTTTTTTTTTTTTTAGATGGAGTTTCACTCTTGTTAACCAGGCTGGAGTGCAATGGTGCGATCTCAGCTCACCACAACCTCTGCCTCCTGGGTTCAGGCAATTCTCCTGCCTCAGCCTCCTGAGTAGCTAGGATTACAGGCATGCACCACCATGCCCAACTAATTTTTTGTACTTTTAGTAGAGACGGGGTTTCACCATGTTGACCAGGATGGTCTTGATCTCTTGACCTCATGATCCACTGGCCTTGGTCTCCCAAAGTGCTGTGATTACAGGCTTGAGCCACCACGTCCGGCCTTATCTAACCTTTTATCAAGCTTCTTAGCTTCCTTGCATTGGATCAGAACATGCTCATAGAAGTTTGAGCTTTAGCTCATAGAAGTTTGTTATTACCCATCTTCTGAAGCCTGCTTCTGTCAATTCTTCAAACTCATTCTCTGTTCAGTTTTGTTCCCTTGCTGGCGAGGAGCTGTGATCCCTTAAAGGAGAAGAAGCATTCTGGTTTTTGGAGTTTTCAGCCTTTTTGCTCTTCTTTCTTCCCATCTTCATGGATTTATCTCCCTTTGGTTTTTGAGGTCTGTGACCTTCGGAAGGGGTCTCTGAGTAGACTTCCTTTTTGTTGATGTTGATGCTATTTCTTTCTGTTTGTTAGTTTTCCTTCTAACAGTCAGGTCCCTCTGCTGCAGGTCTGCTGGAGTTTGCTGGAGGTCCACACCAGACCCTGCTTGCCTGGAAATCACCAGTGGAGGCTGCAGAACAGCAAAGACTGCTTCCTGTTCCTTCCTCTGTTGCTATTAAGAAAAGCTTTTGGGAATGGGTTCTCTCTCCTCTCCTCTACTATGTAGGGACATGTTTGCATCTTTGTCCCCTTTTGCCCTTTTACTTTCCACTATGTGAGAACTCAGCAAGAAAGCTGTCACCAGAGGCTGGAGCCTTGATCTTGGATTTTCAAGTCTCCATAACTGAAAAAATAAATTTCTGTTCCTTGTAAATTATCTAGTCTGTGGTATTTTGTTACAGCAGCACTAATGGACTAAGACACCAAGGAAAGATTGTGGTAGCTGGAGAAAGACATGAGCGCACAGACTAGACAGACTTGGTCTTATACTGTAGTACAAAGTTGCTGCATTCTGATCTTGGCCTTAAAGAATAATCAAGGGATCTGATAAACTATAAATTCTGAATACAATCTGATAAATGTGCTGTTAATATTATGAATATATAAAATTCTGGTTTGGAAAGACTTGGAAAGTTCTGGAAAAGCTCTGCAGAAAAGTAAGCATTTCATCTGGTCCCTGACTGACAAGCAGGATTTTTTTTTTTTTTTTTTGAGACGGAGTTTCCCTCTTGTTACCCAGGTTGGAGTGCAATGGCGCAATCTCAGCTCACCGCAACCTCTGCCCCCTGGGTTCAGGCAATTCTCCTGCCTCAGCCTCCAGAGTAGCTGGGATTACAGGCACGTGCCACCATGCCCAGCTAATTTTTTGTAATTTTAGTAGAGACGGGGTTTTACCATGTTGACCAGGATGGTCTCGATCTCTTGACCTTGTGATCCACCTGCCTCGGCCTCCCAAGGTGCTGGGATTACAGGCTTGAGCCACTGCACCCGGCCCGCAGGATTTTATATAGTGAAATTTTAGACAGAGGGACGGCATCTACATAAGAACAGTGTGAAAGTGTATTTTGTTCATTTGTTTATTTATTGTTTCATTCTGCTTCAATTATTTTTAATCCCTTTATATGCCAGACATTGTCCAAATAACAAGCTGTTATCTTCTAAATATGCAATATGATGTCTGGTAATAATAGTGCTTGGGGAATAGAAAATTGTCCCACCTGGTAAGAGTGTAAGGTACACAGTGCATATGGTGTGAGATAAAGGGTTTTGATTTCTGTGCCAGGAACTTATGACTTAAGTCTGTGGCAAGGAGGATCCATAGAGGTTCTTCTGCAAGAGAATTTGAACAGTGAAAATCTGGCAGCAGAATGGCAGGAAAATTGTAGCTGGGACAGGCATGGCAGCTTCATACAGTAGGCTATATAAGTGCTGAAGAGATTTTGGGTCCAATAGCAGGAATGGGAAGAGGGCTGGATACCAGAGTACATTTGAGAAGCAGTCAGTAGGACTGGAAGAGCACCTTGGCATAAGACATACAGAATGCACCTGTGTCAAGGAAGACTGGATTTTTCTTGCTTGGGATCCTGTGCAGATGGTGACATTATTCACTGGGCAATATGGGAAGATGAGAAATTTAAGGATAAAGATATGCCAGTTCCAAATATGTTGAATTTCAGGTATTTTCAGTTCACTCAGGTGTAGATGTGTAGGCATTTTTCTAATTTAAAACAAGAATTATGGTCTCAAATGAGAGGTGGAGTTTGCAGATGAAAGTTTAGGAACCCAGGTATTAAGACATTATCTGACAACTGGTTGTTCAGGGGTGGAGTTAGAAGAAAAGAAAATTGCCAAAAGTAGAGCTCTAGAATTTCTAAAATTTGAAGGGCAGTTAAAGAACAAGAAAGATGAAGAGAACTGGATATGGAGCAATCTGGGAGGTTAATAGGGATGCAGGAGAGTGTGGTGTTCCAGAAGTTAAGTGGGGAAACGGTGTTGAGAAGAAGGACATTAATGGTTAATGAAATAAGCTACATATAAGGTAAATAGAAGAGGATAAAGTAGAAGTCATTGGATCTTGTAGCTATGGTATTTTTGAGATCTTTGACAGAATAGTTTAATAGTGTTGAAGAATTTTTGGCCAAATAGCAAGTGGGTAGGCTAAGAAGTGATTGAAAAGAAAGGAATGAAGGCAGCTCTTTCAACACAGTGGTCTTGATGGGGGAAGAGAGAAAAAGATAGCATGATAGGAAGGTGGAATTTATACAGAAAACTTTTCCTTTTTTTCTTTCCAATATGGATAGGTGCAAGTTGGTCACATGTGCAGAATGAATGTAAGGGACTTTGTGATTTGTGGAGAGGGAGATAGTGAAGAAAAGGGCAATAGTTACTAAGTTCAGGAAACTGGTAAACAGCTGGAAGAACACAAGTGAAGGAGGTAGGTCTGGAAAGGAGATGAGAACTTTTTGGTGACCAAGAGTAGAAGGCAAGACAATGGACAGACATGAGCCTGGAGACTGAGGGATACCAAAGTCTCCTCAGGTTCAATCCAATGCTGGGCCCTCTGCTAGAAAATGCTTTAAAGCCTAAGGGTATAAAAAGGGTGAAATAAAAAAGACCTATTTTATTTTTGGCATCTCACTGTGTCAGTACGGGCTGATAAATAAAGACATGAGGTAAAAATGGACAAGCTCTGTCTGGGCAAGTTGAGTTACTGAGCCAGCTGCTGTGTCTCTTGGATTGTTTCTTTGTCAGCTCAGTTCCACCATTCGTATTGCTACAGAAGGTCTTGTCTGATGCTGAATACCCGGTGAGGGATCATTCACGCTTGCTGGATTAAATTTGATTAAAGTAGCTTATTTGTGACATCTGAAATGTCTGTCTTTAGAATTCTGTGTAATTATTTTGATGTTTAGGGACACAGGGATATCCAATAATCATTTAGTCTGTGTTAGCTACAGGTGAGGGAATGGTGAATTCAACCAGGAATACATCTTGAGCACAAAGCTCTTGAACTGTATTCTTTCCCTGGTTTCCTTGGTGAACTCTGTTCAGCTGAGTGTCCTCATCTTCTCATCCCTGTGATAGTTGAATGTCTTCAATGAGGTAAACCCTGGAACATTACAGGTCTTAAATTGGACTCTCCTCCAGCTTGGGGATAGAAATCAGAAATCACGTAAGCCCCTTTTTAAAACTCCCCTCTTAATACACAGATGAGGAAACCAAGGCCCTAAAAGATAAAATGCTTTAATCAAGGTTATGCAGTAATTTTATATTAAAACTAACACTGAAACCAGAATTCTGACCACCCTCCTTTAAGCAGGTGGCTTAATTGCTGGGACGTAATGACATCTATACTTTGTGATTCTTTTGTTAATGGATTCCTTTCTCACTTCTTCTGACTTCAGCAAGTACTATTCTTAAAGGAATAAATTTAATGACTTCAACAGAGAAACATGTGAACTGAAGGCTTACTTTCTTGCCTTGATTTCATTCCCTTTTGTATATACTCTGTTTATTCTATACTTACTGGCATTAAAGTCCTGAATTGTCGCTGTCTCACTGCAGAGAAGAACATATCACCCTGGCCCTAAATGCCCAGGAGGTGGTACCCAGAGCTTTCAAAGGGAGAGTGGATTACTTTAAGTGTGGGAGGATATCCAATAGTCTTTTACTACTGTACCTCACTTTGAGAAAACCATATCTTAGAAAACTCTAAATAAAACCAGCCCAGTGTGAACTGAATGTTTGCAGTAACAAAGGAGTCTTCTCTTTTCAAAGGAAATCTTCATCCTAGTACTTCATCCTAGTACTTTTAAATGTTTATATATCAATTACTACTTGCCTGCATGCATATCTTGGGAACAAGAAGGCTAGAGAGTCTCTACAGCACAGATGTTAAATCCTGCTGTCAATTAAAAAGTCAATTATAAATAGTAGAAAGTATTTTTGAAAGAGGTTGGATGTCTGCAGAACAAAAGAGGCTTTAATTTATGAAAATTCCACTCACAGGTACTCTGGGAACAACCCCTTATTTGAGAAATGAGAAATATTGCTTGGATTGCTCTTTTGCTCATTTCAATGACCTCACTGAAAGATTTCACACTATCATTTAGAAACCATGGTGAGACAAAAAGTGTGAGGAGATGCAGAAACCTTGGCTGGTCATGTCAGTCTGGCTACTAAGTACAGTTCATCCTACTAGATGTGATCTGACGTTACTTTCTCTAGCCCCCTTGAGGCATTCACTCACAGCAGTGTCAGGTACATACATTCTCTCCAGGTCCCCAAATCCTGAAAATGCACCTTTTGGGATGGCTCGAAGCTTGGTGAGGACAAACCTCCTGCAAAGAGAGTAGAAATAAAATATCACAACCTATCCACTAATAAATAATTGAGTTGCTAATGTATTAAGATAGTATTAGCTAACAGCTAACACATAGTAAGTGCTTGCCATAAAGTAATGTTGAAATTGCTTTTACATTCTCTTAATCCTCTCTACGAAGTGGCGATATTGGCACTATTAGTCTCTCCATTTTGTATAAGGAAACTAGAGTTTAGGGAGAATAAAAAGTTTACCCAGGGTCACATGGCTGATACATGACAGAGTTGGAATATAACCTTGCTGGTCCCCACACCTTATGTTGCCTTCGGTAGTCCTGTGTGAGGCCTGTTCTCTTTCTCTACTCCAACCCCCATTACCTCTTCCTTTATTGTAATTCTCAGATGACCTTGCCTCCTATTCCAAGATGAAAATAAAACCAATAGAAGAAAATGTCTTTATGATCTCCTAGGGCTCACCGACTAATCAACCTGCCTGCACTTGTGCTTTACACACATTGCCTTCTTTCCTGGTGCAATGAGTGAACTGTCCAGGGTCCTGTCTAAGAATAGCTTCCCCAATATGCAGGTCTGTTTCCCTCTCGGCTAGTCCCAGTAACTGCTATGAAAATTTTCCATTTTCTTAACACATTTCATTCACCTTTTCCCTGCTTCTTTCCTGAATTCTGCTTACTAATATAAAAACATGCTGTAACGTTTCTCATCTATAAAAAAAGTCTTCTCTTAACCTCAGCCGCCTCCAGCTTTTGCCATTTTCTTCTGCTTGAAATCTTCGTCTCATGCCTGCCTCAGAATTCCTTCCAATGGCTCCTCATCTCACTAGGGGAAAAATCGGAGTTGTTTACAAAGGTCTTCAGTACTCTAAAAGAGCTTACTGCTTTTTATTTCCATAGTCCCTGTGTTCTCAATTTTGACAACAACCCTTTGTTCATCTGGTCTTGTCACAGTATCCTCTAGCAATTCCTTGGACATGCCAGGTTCCTTCTGGCTTAATGTTTCCACATTTGCAGTTCTCTTTGATTGAAACTTTTCTCTTCCAGATATCCTCATGGCTTGTTATTTGCTCAAATGTTACCATTTCTGTGACGCTTTCCCTAACCACCTATTAAAATAATAATCTCCCAAACTTGGCCCCAACCCCTCTTTCCTGCCACTTAAATTTTTTTTTGTCATAGCTATTCTGACATGTTATATCTTCTACTTATCTTTGTGTATTTATTTATTGTAACTAGAATTCAAGTTCCACGAGGGCAGAAATGTTGGCCTGATTTGTTGTGACTGTGTAGCAAATGCCTAGAACAGTGCCTGACATGACAGGTAGTCAATAAATATTTGTTGAATGACTGTATTAATGGCTATTGAGCATTCTGAAAATTCTAAGTTTGAGATTGTAGTTACAAGTGATCCTTTGGAAATCTTCATAATAAGAATATTATTCTTTCCCTAGCCTTCTTCCCTCTGGCTTTTTCTTGATTCGTAACTGATTAATAGGGATTTGGTTTTCTTTCATCTTTAACACTTCCTTTTGTAAGGCAGTCTGTGAGCAGGAATTGTAATCAAACACCATGGACTTGGATCGTTTCATAAACATTTTTTTGCTTTAACCATTTATTATTTATTGGTGTTAGTGAAATTTCCGTTTCAGATAGAGCTGCTACTCAGGCAATCAGGTCTTTTGTCCCCCCGCTTGCTTGTGCTTGGCTACAAGATGTGCCAACCCTGTGGTGAAGAATCATGAGAGAGAGCCCAGTGTGCTGTTGCTGTCCTGTGGGAGTTTATATTCTTGCTGGGAAGGCAATACTAGAAACTTTGGAACTGCTAGAAAACAGTTTAGGGCTATAGTTGATATAATAGCAATAAATGTTATACAAGGAATAAGATGAGAAAGATCCCAAAGTACACAAATATATAACAGAAAGATTGTTAAAGGTGAATGAATTTTGAACCTAAGCCTCAAAAATATTAGTTCATACTAAAAGCATTGTCTTTGTTAAGCCATTTAAATAAAAGGTGATTTAATTTAAGATCACAGAAGAGTATCTACTTCTAGAATATCCATCTAAAATGAATCAAAGTTAGCTCAATACTCTAGCTTAATTATACTCACTTAACCTTTGTTAATACATACAAGTTCCTTTTGTTCCTATTTAACACTAGACAGAAGAATGATGAAAATAAACAAATAATTAAAGATAATAAAATGGCTTTAAACTACTCAACACTCTGAAAGTATCAAAGAAATTGTAACATTAAGTAAAATATTAATGAGATACATGGAGAGTGAGGTCTTGAATAACGGACTCTTGTATTTAATAACATCAACTAGAAAGCATTTTTTGATTCAGCCCAGTAGTGTGCATGCTTTCTAAAATTTTCAAGGACTATGTCTGCATTAAGCAGTTCAAATTTATTAACGTAATTAAATATTTTGACACTTAAAATCTTCATTGACCTCTATTTCCTAAAAATGTTATAAACTAGATAATTTGAAAATATTTTCACAAAAAATTACCCAGAAGTCTTCTATAAAACATTACAAATATTACTTTAAATGCCTAGCAGAGCTCAAAAGGATATGAGAAATCCCCAGGGGCCCAAAGTAAAGCAGCTGAATACCAGACGGACTCCTGAGCAGTGGTGAATGCAGCCAGAATTCTAAGAGGGTAAAGTTAAACCAGGGTACCCTGGGGGAGTTTCTGAACTTAGAGGCAAAGGGATTTATATTTTAGTGCCAAACTGGCATATGAGATGAGATGTGGAGAACAGAATGTGAAGACATCATTTCTTGTCATCTCATACACATTCTAGAAAGGTATAGAAAATGGAGAACAAGTCATTTAAATTACAGTGAAATAGCATCTAGAAATGTTTCATAACTTATGAAAGATATAAATCCTCAGATTCAGAGATCTCAACAAATCCCAGGGAGGAAAACAAAAATCCACTGCCAGATACCTATGAATTAAAACTGTGGAGCCATTGAAGATATTTTAAATGCAAGTGGAGGGAAAAAGATAGACTGTCTTCAAATAAAAAAATAATTAGAAAAGCTTACAAAAATATCTTCAAAACTATTAGAGAAAATAACTGCCAATTTAAAATTCTATAATGTAGAAAATTATCATTCAAATGTGAGGGTAAAATGAAATGACATCTGAACAACTTTAATTAGCTATGAATAAACTTTTAGAGAAAGGATTTCTTTAAAGGATAAGAAAATTTAATCCAGGAGGAAGACGCAAAACACAGAAAGGAATAGTGGATGAAGAAATTAGTGTTTCCTATTGAATAGGTGAGTTTCTTAGTTCATTTGTGTTGCTACAAAGAAAAACCTGAAACTAATGTATAAAGAAAAGAGGTTTATTTCACTCATGGTTCTGCAGGCTTCACAAGAAGCATGGCATCAATGTGTGCTTCTGGTGAGGGCCTCAGAAAGCTTCCACTCATGGCAATAGGGGACGGAGAATAAGCATCAAGTGGCAATTGATGAAGGATGAGGAGGGAAAGGTAGATGCCAGGCTCTTTTCAATAATCAGCTCTTGTGAAAACTAACAGAGTGAGAATTAACTCATTACTGCAAGGATGGCAGCAAGCCGCTCGTAAGTGATCTGCCCCTATGACACAGACACCTCCCACTAGGTCACTGGTCCAACACTGGATATCAAATCCCAACATGAAATTTGCAGGGAACAAATATAAGTGAGTTGTCATAATGGCTGGAAACCCTACCAAGTCAATAAAGAACACTAAAAACATACTGACCAAGAACTAGGTTATAAAGAAAATTAGTATTTAAAAATTACTTTCTTTGATGGTGATGCAATTAAATTACTTAGAAATCAATAATAAATATAATTAGCTCTCCTCCCCCAATACACATATACCCATATGGAAAAACCAAAACCAAAACCAAAAGCAAAGCAAACCAACCAACCAAACAAACAAACAAATGAACACCCTTTAAAATCATACATGGGTCAAAGGAGAAATTACAATTAGAATTATTTAGATTGAACTATAATGAAAATACATATCAAACATATCAAACTCGTGAAATATCATTAAATTGCTACCTATAGCAGAAATTTATAGATGTAAATTATTGTACGAAAGAAGGAAAGAAAAGAATTAGAGAAGAAATTAATGAGCTAAGCTTCAAGTACAATAAACTACTAAAAGAAAAATAGAACTGTGGAAACAGAAAATTATGAACCCAATATTTTTTTTATTCCATTTCTGGCTAGAACTTAAAGTGATACTTGAAAGATGTTTCATAAGAAATGGAAAGAGCAGAGACTGTTGATAGAGATGTTTGAGAAGGTAAACACTCAGGTAGACATTATAATTTCATATTAAAGTTTAAGTTTACACTAACTTGCTATTTTGAAATTATAAGGTTAAGTTTTTCTTTGAGTTTATTACTGAGATGGGTAAGAAGCTTTCTACTAGTAGCAAAAGGCTTACTAAAATGGTTTAATGGACTCGACTTATAATATTTTATAACACTGAAAATGATTGTTATAGAGAACTAACTTATTTGAATGTTTACTGAAGAAAACTGGATTTACCACTTAACATTGTAAACTCTGCCTATTATAGAAGGCTTATTTTAACCAGCAACCTTCTGACATTTCATTATGACATGTCATAATTAACAAATTCAAAAGGTATACACACATTTCCTTTAAATCAGAAACATAGGTAACGGTATTGTACTTGATAAATTTTCATTTTTGAAACAAAGTAAATGAGAGTATAATAGATAAAGTTTAGAATACATTGCACCACAATTTACATCTTACTGATGCTTTCACATTTTCCTTTCAGAACTGGAACAAGACAAAGATGCTCACTCTTACCACTTTTATTCATAGTTGTACTGGAAGTTCTAGGCAGAGCAATTAGGCAAGAGAAAGAAACAAAGGTCATACAAATGGGAAAACAGGAAAGCAAATTGCCCCTGCTTGCAGATTGCATGATCTTATATGCAGAAAAACATAGA